ATTAATAAGCAATTTGACAAACGAAAGTGATAAATATAAAAATAAAATTGAGAAAAATAAAAGTTGGAATAACTTATCAACGAAATACAAAGAAATAGATAAAAGTGCTACATTAGAAGTAGATTCCAAGAAATGTTCCGCCAAATGGATTTGTGTGTCGTGTATGGGCGAAACGAACTCACACAGATCAAACGCACATATGGGTCCTATAAGTAGTTCTTGAGCAATCTTGAGCAATCTTGCCAACATACTTCAMAAACACAGTTTCGAGAAAAACGCGTTTAAAGACGGCGCACTTGGCCTAGCCTCGATCGCACAAGAAAAATTTAAAATTCAAGACGACATTCTTGAGGTTTGGTAGAATTTAATAAGATAATAAAAAAACTTGATTTTTTGCAACCTGTAAACTCATGTAACCCCTTAAAAAAAGTGGAAGTGGAAGAAAATTAAAAAAATGTAGTTTTGAAAAAATAGCGTTAAAAGTAAACTCATGGAGCTGATTGGACTGAGCGTCTACGCTTTAGAAGGCTTTAACTCAAAAACGATTTCAGATATCTATTTTTCGAGTTATCTCTGAAATATTTTGCCTTTCAGTAACCACAGTGCCTCCGTTGGCTCAGTTACTCATTCACTTGCTGCTCGCTCGCATTTGTCGTGGACTCGTCGTCGTATGTGACATGAGGCCAGTGYTTTTGCATTTTCAACGGATTTGTTTTTGTTTTGCTGTTAATTCTTCGGATTTGGTCGTTTTTCATTGCGTTTTTTTTATAATTTTTTCGTTGCCTCATATTCCGGCATTGCCCATTGCCCGTTGGTCGTTTGCATATTTCGTTGCCTCCTCCGTCGCCTATCGCCTGTCTGCTGTCTGAGTGTCATCTTCTCTGTCTGCAGCGACTTAGCCTGCAGCCAGTCAACCAGCTAGCTAGTTAGTCACTTGGTCTAACTCTCAGTGTTCTTTAGTCTGTGGCGTCTATGCGCTCATAACGCGTCGTCTGTTTTCCAAMAAAATCGAGYAAAATATTTTTATAWATTCTWAAAAATATTTCTTTCAAAAAATATACACAAAGCAAAGTGTGCTTATTCGAAAAAAAAATTTTAATTCATGAAATAAATCAATAACAGCTGGAGCTTGTGAAGTTTGAAATAAAATAAAATTATATGTAATAAGCATAAAAGTGGAAAATTAAATTAAATAAATTTGAGTTTGAGCTCTTTCGCAATGCGTCGTGTGTCGCTTGCGTGCAACAACGTTGAAAGTGACGCGCCCTGAGTGTGTGCAACGGAAGTGGGAAAGTACGCGCGTACGCAACTGAACATACATGCTACATACACACATATATGCATAAATATATACCAGTTTCATAAAAAAAAAAAAAATAAATTAAAAAAAGCTTAAGTCAAAATAAAAACTGCTTATGTTTGCTGTCAACCTTTTGTGCCGTCAAGTGTAGCGAAAATCATTTTCTTCGAAAATTTATTGCAGTCCATGAGYCGATAGTCAGTCGGTGGATATAGTCCGCACACTTGCACAATATTGAGCGACATTGGAATTTCGTAAAGCCAGAAATCAAATAAAAAATATAAAATACAAAAAAACGCGAGAAAAAAAATCAAATAAAACGCAAATGTCTGGGAACTTCGCCGTCGCGCTAAGAGAATTTATTTGATTGCTTATTTTTATAAGCTATAAAGTTGTGCGGATTAAAAATAGTCGCTGTAAAATGGCTAAGATGCAAAGGGGAAGGTAAAACAGCGCGTACGAGCCTCTTGTGAATGATGCGTGGAAATTTTTGGAAAATTAATTGCGACGTGAAAACGTAAAACGTTTGCAACATAGCTTAGAATGCTACAAAATATTTAATTCTTGATCAACTGAGAAAAAATTAAAAATTACAYGTTAGTAATGTTGTAAAAGTTAGTTTTTGAACCTTTTCCGTTTATTAGCAATAACTCATATACGATTTTCCAATCATTCAACAAATTGAATGAGAAATYCAATGCTTTGTAGCTGAAAATGTCGATCATTTGCTATTAATAAGTTAATTTTGATAATTTTTAGTGTTAAAACACTTTATAAGTAGTTCAAATATACAATCAATCAGATTAGCTGATCGGGAATAAAAATCTGCCTGAGCTTACAGCTACTCAGGGTACCCTTCAGTTGACATTAACAAACAATCACGTAACTTCAAAAAATAAGAATTTTATCTGAAACCTTACTGTTTTTAACYCGAGCTTTTGTAGTTTTACTTTGAGCGGCGATCACGTTTCTTCTAGCACCACTCTCTGACATTGAGCTCAGTTATTATACCCGAAGAAAATTATTCTAAGTTTACTGAGATCTCCGTTTGAGTTTTAATTTAGCTTCCGTCATCTATTGCAATTGCTTAGACCGACTTTTAGAAAGGAAGATCTGTGGAGTAACAGATTGATTTATGGGTATTTGTCACCGACACAGCGTCACAATGGATCCTTTTAAGATTTAGCATTTCAGAAGACTGAGCTTCTTCAAATAAAGCGAAAGATCACAAAAAGATGCGACTATCTTCTGTGTTAGAGGCTTGGTTTACCACTGTATCAGCAATCATCATATCTATAGCAGCTGCTTCCGAGTCAGTTAAAAACTAAAAGGAATTTCCTAAATTATTTGCTATCTACTTATGCAMACACGTGTAGTTAATATAACGGAATTCACTAAAGTTTCCAAGTTTCGTTCAGGATTTTTTGCAATTCTTGCGATTATTGCTCGTTAAGRCACATAAAATAAATATCCACATAAAAAGTAGTAGATGGAGAGAAATGGTTAAAGTGCCAAATAAAAAGCATCAAAAATGTGTGTGAACTCGTGAAAATAATCATYATTAAAATCAAAGTAAAATGACGCGAGTTTAAATATGCACAYAGACAGTACAAGACAAATGTGTTCGTACAATACGATATTTTGAACTTTATAGAGAGCCTAAACCGATTGTAAAATTTTGAAATAGTTTTCAGTTGTGAAAACTATTTTGGTTTAATTCTTAAAAATSGGGAGCAAAGCTTTTTAGATAAACGAAGAAATTCTTCTTCTTCTCCTATACCAGCGTAGACACCGCTTACGTGGTTAAATCCGCGTAGTTTTTTCTGTTCGCTATTTGACGCTAATTCAAGATACCAAGTGCAGTCAGACCGTTCTACACCTGATCTTTCTAATGGAGTGGAGGTCTGAAGTCCTCTGCTTCCACAGGCGGGACAGAATCGAAAACCTTCAAAGCTGGAGCGTTCTCTTTCATCCGGACAACACGACCTAGCATGCGCAACCATTGCCTCTTTATTCGCTGAAATATGTAAAAGTCGCCGTATATCTTGTACAGCTCATCGTACCATCGCCTATGGTACCGGCCATTGTCAATGCGCAAAAGACCATAAAGCGTCTACAAAAATTTTCTCTCGAACTCGAAAGTTGGCAATAGTGATTCTGTGTTGGTTTTCAAGGCTGATATTGTTGTTGGTATTGATGCTGATTCCAAGATAGACGAAATTGTTTAAAACTTTAATGTAATGACTTTCAAAAGTGACATGGGAGCCAAGTCGCGAATGCGATGACTGTTTGTTTGATGACAGGAGATATTTAGTTTGCCCACGTTCAAACCTAGACTTAGACCTGTGCGGTTCACTCTGATTATTAAGATTATTAATATAATATATATGTTTTATAACATATATGTACCCTAGTTTACCAAAAAATTTGTAACAATCTGAAGAAACATCGCGTAATCAACTGAAGTGAATAAAATTTTTCATTAACCGACTTTTGTGTACACACTGTAACATCAACTGACATTTGACAGTTGATCGAGCGAAGTTACGCTCTTTCGCATACGGTGCCAACGTTGTACAAGCACACACAGCGAATATATTAAATATTTACAAATTATGTACTTWTGTATCAATGTATTATACATATGTATATGTATGTATTTGACCGAACTAATCTAAATAGCTTCGGGGGCAAGTAGCCTGGCACTGAATGTCACTGCTCTAACGGCTCCTGCTCCATACATACTTACACGCACACAGATTCTCACGCATATGCTCACATAAAACAAAAAGCTCACAAAATAAAATGCCATGAACTATGCGTAACGCAAACAAATCAACAAATATAATGATGAATATGCATAAAGGCTGACAATAGCACAATAGTGCTCTCTATATGCGTGTGTGTGTGTGTACTTATCGTAAGTGTATATCGGTGATATTAAAGTCACTCGAGTCAGCAAATTTTTTAATTTGTACATATGTACATACACACTTTTGTGCTGCAATTGCTGCAAATGAAGGTAAATGATAAAAATACGGAAAAATTAAAGCAAATAATGATCAAAAGAAAATAAGCAATAATAACGAAGTAAATAAATTAGTGAGAAAGCACAAACAGGCAAAATAAAAATACACATCTGCATGCCAAATAAAGTCTTGATGGCAAAGTGAAATAATTTATTATGTCACACGAACACATATACACATCGGAGGTAAATGATACAAAATCAGAATCTCGTGATAATATTAAATGTGTAATTGCCTGTTTGTGATTGTCAGCACTCGTGTGGCAATTGCTTTTCTGCTGCTCGTTTTTGTTGTAGAATGTTGTGTATATTTTGTGTGTCTTTTGTTGTTGAGATCGCACGCACCCGCTCGCCGGTCCATCGGTTCCTACACTCACCTGTGCATTTCAAGTTTAGTCAGTTGTTTACTTATTTAGTAGATTTTTCGGGGTATCTCGTGCTCAGTAACCATTAACGCTTCCCACTCGATAAATTCAGCAAAGCAAAGCATGTATTAATAGAAGTGTTATACATAGCAATATTAAATGAAAGTTGCTAAATAATTTTTCTAACGCATCATTCGCTGGAGTGGTCTGGACCTCACGCATACCAACGCATATACATATATGTATGTGGAATTTATAAATTATAAATATAGAGATACACAGCGGTTCAAAATGATAGTTACATCGAGGAATGTCAATGCCACTGATATCTTTTAGGTTATGTTTGGTTATGTTAGGTGTGAGACATACACAAAGGATCTGAATTGATCTCTTGACTGATCCTGTAACATTGCATTTGAAAAAGATAACCAAGATTCAAACCGACTCTTAGAAAAAAATCTTCTATGTGAAAAAAATCCACACCTTGTTGAAGAGCTTCAACATGACCCCCAATTTTTGAATAACGTAATCGGAAACAGGTGACAAATCTTGGATCTTTGAGTATGAYAACGAGACAAATTTTCCGAGGGCACACGACGTCTTCTCCTCKAACAAAAAAGGGAAGAATTCCAAAGTGATAACGATGCTCATTGTCTTTCTTGACATCGTCCACAATGAATTGGTCCTCCTCCATTTTACGTGGAGTCCTCAAGAGRCTCAAACAAAGGGTCAATCGGGCCCGAAAAGACATCGCAGCCTATTGGAAGTTGCACCACGACAATGCCCAGGCTCACACCGCCTTTCTTGTGAACAGCTACCTAATTAAGCAGCCGCCCTATAGCTCAGATGTGCGCCCCTGGACTTTTTTTTTGTTTCTTWGCCTGAAAAGGCCGATGAAGGCAAGCATTTTGAGACGTCAGAGGGGATCCAAGCAGCATGCAMCTCGGCTCWCAAGGGTATTCCGGAGAATGCCGGCATCGACGATGAAGCGGCCTATTTTGAAAGTTTTTAAAAAAATGCGACGATTGGTTCAATAAATTTGTTTAAATCGACTCAGACCTATTACTTTCCGTACAAACCCTGTTTACTTTATAGGGGTCTGACGTTCACTTTTGGGTGTTTAAAACTTCGTAGCCAGCAAAAACCATAAAAAACAATTTCTTAATTTMTTTACGAAGCAATAGCACTGAATTGTTCAAGTATTTCTCATAATTGAATGGCAGGCTAATAAGTTGCTAGAGTATCTCTGAGCTGAAAGTCCCACTGACAACATATGACTTGTTACTATTATTTTGAATCGCTGTGTCATTTCTACACCAAATATTTGAGATACATAAAATTGTATATATGTATAATTCGTAGAGGAGCCAACGCATTCGCATATTGACTGCAATTGCTGCTAGTCACCCGCATACAATATAACAACAACAACAAGCGCAATTGACATTTACAAATGTGTAAGTGTACGTTTAGTGAGCTTGAAAGCACACATGTGAAGCAGACAACGAACATAGTTGACAACAAACAGACACACATTTGAATGCACGCTCTGATACAGCAACAAAMACGAGTCGGGAAACGCGCGATGTTCAAAACTTTGATTTACGCAATTTTCGTTCGCAAGAAAAGTACTTCCGCTGCCGACGCCAACAACAACATACAAATCAACACCAACACCAACGCCAACAACAACAATACTATCATCGGCAACGCTAATATTAGCTTTGGCATTCTTATAGGCGTTGCCAATGCAATTTTAAACGCCAACATTCGTTACGCGCCTGCACCGACAATTGCCACTTAAGTGCAGAATACGAGAAGTTACARTACACACACATAAATACGTTCGTCGAAGTTCAGCACCCCAAGGAAGTTGCATACGATTTGATTTCGTTGCGACGCTTTTGTATAAAAAAATCAACTTGATGTATCAGCTGTGCCGATTGTATCAACGCACACATAAAGATTTAACAAAAGTTCATACAAAATGGCGATTAATAACACCACCCGATCGACGACGACTAGAGAAGCGCTACGATAAATGTTACGAAGTGAGTGTCATCGTCAAAGAGTGATTTCAAAAAAATCTCGACGAAAAAGAAATTTTAAATTTATATACAAATATTAGCGCAGTTATATGCGAAAGTAGCGCGTAAAGGAAAGAAAATATTACCAGTGCTGGTGGAGTTCCAAATATTAGTATAGTGTTGCAATATACTCCTACTACGTTAATATTTAGTAGTGTTACTAAAAGAAAGTGTTAGTGAAAGAATTATCYCAAATATAATTGGTTAAAAAATTATTGAATTAGAAAAGTGTAGCGCTAAGTTTTTGCTCGTTTTCGCTRTCATCCAGCCATTAGTGTTAGTGCAAAATATAGCAAAGTACGAAATCAGCACTTAAAATTCTTTAATATTTCACCTACAACAAAAACCAAAAAATGTGGCATCCACTTGCYCGAGATCTGGCTACACTCTTACAAGAAGCAGCGCAATACACACGCAACTTGGTTGTGTCTAAGGTAAGAGACAATGGGAGCCTTCAATTTATTTAAATGATTTAGGCTTTTTTTGAATATAGCATACTTACACTTCGCCAAAAATACAAAAAGGGTTCATCAGTAACATAATTTTTTGGCACTACAGCTCCTTGAGAGCTTCGGTCTACCTCGCATGTAACCTTCAGACGTCTCGATCATCTGCGGTTAGTATGAGTTAAAACAAGAAAAAACATTAACCTCGGATGCACCGAAGACATAAAACTTTGATCGAAGATTGTAGCGCTACCTTGCTTAAAAAATCCTTGCAGAATTTCATGAATATAAGATATTGTCAAATAAAAAATTTTCCCTTAYGAAAATTTTTATTTTGTTCAATCAGGTCGATAGCTATATATACATATGTATATCTTATAATGAGTCGACAGGACCAACAAATGAGCGACTTCTTGAAGAGAATAAGACGTTTGCAAAATTCCATAACGATATCTCAAAATGTGAGATATTAGTTCGCATATATAAAGAAACAGCAAGCAGACGGATATGGCTAAATCAACTCAGCTCATAACGCTGATCGCATATGTATGTACAACATATACTACTATGAGCAAAAAATAGTAAGAATCCCTCACAATTTTAAAATTCTTCAAAATCTATATTGTTTCCCTTCTCAAAGTTATCCCCTTTAGCCCCAATACACTTGTGCCAACGTTCTTTCAATCCTCGAAACAGTTGTAATTTCAATTTCCGGAATAGCCTTCAATGCGAGTAGCTTGTATCTATTTTTCAACTTCTCCGAAATAAGATTTTTTTGGTTAAATGAAGCTAAAAATCTCCCCTTTCTAACACTGGAGCACTGGAGATATGCGACTGCAACGAAATCTATTGACAAAATACGAAAATACTTTTTCGACTACCCAGTAGTATTCCTTCGAAGTGCAACGAACCTCTTGAATAATTTGTACTAATAARAACACTTTCTAACGACAAACAATTATCAGTCTTTTCAAACATTCTGAGCTTGTCGGCAGCAGAWATTTGATTCCGCACTCAAAATTTTAAGGAAGTTCTCTGTTGAATGTATTCACTCAGCATAAAAATCGCTGAATTCACTTTATGTACTTCAAAWGCCAAGCGTTTACTAAGCCTTAACGATTATTTTGATGTAATATTTGGCACGGATGTCACTGACAGTCATCATGCCAGAAGAGAAATATGGGTTTTCGTGCAAACATACACATGTACATATGTATATACTTTATATTATATTTAATTGAAATTTTGTCATTTAATATCTTCATTGTCTCATCTAAATGACTTGTTTTTTTCGTAATATACATACATATGTATATCGGAGTACAAATACTGTAAAAAATATTATTTTTATAACTTTATTTTGCTAAAATCTGGAAATTTTGTTCGGCTTAGAGGAGCCAGAAGTTTGAAAAGTATAAAAATGTTCGATAGACACTCTACTTCTCAGCCTTATAACAGTACTTGAAACTCTTGAATGTGTTAAACTACAATATTTTTGCAAGTACAAAAAAACTTGCTGCCCGGTCTCCAAAGAGTCGCATTTCTGCAGTCAAGTAACTAAAATTTGTTTCAAGTGCAARAATTGGGTTAGCAAAAAAAGGTCACGCAGATTATTTATTTGATTCAAATCTAAGTGAAACTTTAGCAAATAATTTGCACAAGTGATGAGCGCTATTGCGAGCGTGAGTTGAATGAACTTGGTTCACTACAAACCAAATTTGAATAAACGTGAACTGTGTAGCCTACACACTAAGATTCCAAGTCGAATGTATGTTTTTCGGATAAACTTTTTGTTATACGAAAACTTTAACTTTAGTGGTGGTCTGACAATTTGGGCACAGCGGTCCATTTGCGGTATTCAAGAATGTCTTATKGTAGTAAACTCTTTTTAACGTTCATTTGTGTTTGCTCTACGTGATAACAATTGAAAGTCACATTTGCTTGGAAGACATATTAGCAACTTTATTATAAATATGAAGGTTTTTATGCTAATTTCTAGACATATGGGCTGRATTAATGCAAGTATTTGCTTTCAAATTTAGTTCTTGGTTGCGATTAAGGATGGACACTCCCATTTATTTATTGTCAAAATCTACTTGTTAATAACCTAATTTGCATTTTTTCAAGTTATTACCGAGTCAATACTTGTATTATGTATTTGCATTTAGTTTCGATATTTTGCGATGGTTTGCTATAATTGTAGGTATTGATTGCTTTGAGGTGTTTTGCATTTTATTTACTATGTCTATGTTTACTTTTTTATAGATTTCCAAACGTAGTAAGTTCAAAAAGTGTGAAGCGTCGCAAATTTAGTCGAAATAATTTTCGATAACACACGATCRCAAGGTTTAAATTTTGAAGTTTGACGTTCAAATTAAATACAAAAATTTGTATATCTCTAACAAAAAACACTTTTCATTCATTTTTACCATCATAATTCTAGCAGTAGTACATTGCGGTGTCCAATATATGTTACAAGGTTCTTTATTTCCTATTTATTTTTAGGGCTGTGCGTAAAAATAGCACCGCATGTGAAACTTAAAAAGGAAATTATTTAATTTAATGAGGGTAATTGTGTTAAGGGCGCACACTTCCGCATTGTCACTAATTTCCGCAGTGAATCAGAGACGTTCTAAAAAATATTGCGCACTTAACAGACTTACTACGAATAAATATGTGTGTTTGCATAGCGCTTCGAGAATGTGAGGAAATAAAGTGTTCTTTCCAATTCTCAAATATTAATGCTTTAAAAATTAAGTAGACTCTGCAAGGCTGTGTGTGTTAATACATACATAGAAAATATATTTATGTATATCAGGGCTTATGTGCTAGGCAACTAGGTAAAAGATATTAAATATATGATGTATCCATCATATATTATTAAAATCATATAGCATTAAAATGAATGCTTAGGTGGGTATTATCTCCATGGTTTCTCAACTTTTMGTAATTGTCTGAAGAAAAGCGTTTGTTGGGAGCCTAAAGTTTTTAGTATGTCAGTTATTATTACTTTATATTTGGTTATACGCCGAACAGGGTATRTTAGATTRCATACCCAGAAGSAAATCTCGGAGATTTTATAAAATATATCTATATCTACATAAATTATCTGGGTGACGCGCTGAATCGATTTAGTCATTTTAGTCTGTCTGCCTGTATATTATATATGTACGGAAATAGTCGCTCAGTTATCGGTCTGATATGTTGCGCCCGTACTTTTTCCAAGAAGTTGCTCATTTCTTGGAACAGCCGATTTCAGACCACTACAGCAAATAGCTGTCGCACAATCAGATCGATCAAATTGAAGTTCTTATTTGTAAACTTTTTGTTTGCGCAGACATTTTCGTGAAATTTGGCATAAAYTATTGTTAAAGGCAGTTTTATAATCTTCGGACCACTATAGAATATGTATAACTGCCATACAAACTGATCGATCAAAATCAAGATAAAGGTCTGTTCATACAATTTTATGCTATAGGGTGATCCATTTCGAGGTTCCTTACTTTATTACAGAAAAAAACACAGAAACATTAAATTTAATGGCGAATATTAGTCAGCATTCGAAAGAACATTTTTTCGCWTTGGTTTTCTTATCTCTTTCTCATTTGGGCCGCGGCAACGACTCACATGGTCCATCCAATGTTGGTTCCAATGATGTTTTGTTCAAAGACTTGAAATGACGCGAGTTTTTCCGCATAGACTTTCGACTTTATATATGCCCACAGGAAAATGTGTAACGGTGTGATATCACACGATCAAGGTAGCCACTCGATCGGCCCAAAACTTGAAATTATCTGCTCACCGAAGTGTTCTCTCAATAAATTCATTGTTTGAAGCGATGTGTGGGAAGTGGTGCCGGCTTGTTGAAACTAAATATCGCTTCAATTTCAGGCATCAAATATTCCGTTATCAGGGTGCGATAAAGACCAACAAACCACATCAACCTTTGTATTTTTTGGATGAAATGGCAGCTTTGAACCTCTTCAAGTTGCTTTTCGACCAAAATGAGCCAATTTTGCTTGTTTACATATCCAATGAGCCAGAAAAGCCTCATCGCTGAACAAAATTTTCAAGAGCTCATAGAGCGAAACAATGCCACATGGGAAGGACAAGAGGCTTCAGTTCTTGCACAAGCAGTATTTTGTGCGCTTCCAATTTAAGATCTCGTCCATACGTCAGTCCTAGATGCTGCGAATGGCGAATGGCGCCGAATCGGCTCTCCACGGTCTTCGTGTACTCTCTCAGCTAAGGCTGTTGTATTTTTTTTATGACGTGCTGGACGTGGGCTAATCGGTYGAATATTATCCATTATTATAAGAATGCTGGGTCTCAAGATGTGTTGCGAATAGTTCAATCAGTAGTCCCACTATGTTAACCATAAGTTGAGCGAAACACATTCTTTGTAGAACTTGATTTTTGGTAATAAAGTTGAACGATTTGTAAACGTTGTTAAGGCGTAAGTCTTTGCATGATGAAATATCAAACAATACATAACAAAAATAGCATGACAACTTGACACGACTCTCGCGTGGACTGTCAAAAAAAGGCTGTAGGAGAAAGTACCTTTACTTGTATTACCATTTATTAGAAATTCACCTGTGAAGCATACTTTTGCTTCGGTATAGCTAAAGTTAATGGTTTTTCTTCTTTGGCATTAATTTAATTTTTCTCTTAGCGTAAATTTCAGTTGAGGATAATTTTTTTAATTACTACTTGATTAAATCTTACTCGCTATAAAACAAGTTACGATCATTTTTAAACATTAAATTGGGGATTTACTCTATGTCGTAACTTCTATACTTTATGATTTATAATTACTTAAGTACATGCTATTGAAAGGCAACTCGTGCTTGTTGTATTTATGAGTGCTAGTGTACAATTCCTATTTAGACAGAAAATCACAGTTAACAGCGAATTTATAGACTATTGTATAAATTACAAATTAATCCATTATTGGGAAAAGTATTAAATTATTCAAAAACAATTAC